AAATAGCAACCACGGCACATGCACTATGTTTGCTACTGTAACTCCAGCTCTGGCTAGGGAGTGTAGGAACAGAGTGATGTCATACGCCAGCATCCTGGCAACAAAGCCAGCTTGTCGACGTCGCACAAGAGGTTTGCCCATCTTTGCAGAGTGAAGGGCCGGCTGGAGGTTGTTGCTACAGAAAAGTAATTTGTTCACAAAGCTGAGTTATATCTCAAAATTTTACATTGAATACGTGGTGTATATCTGGGATATATGATGTATCCAATGTATTTAATATATATCATGTTATACAATGTATTCAATATATTTAATATATATATATAATATTATATGATGTATTCAATATATTTGATATATATCATGTTATATGATGTATTCAATGATTGTTTTTATACATCAAATCAGCTAGAGTTGCAAAAAAAGATACCGACAAGTTATGTTTATTTTTTACTGTGTGTTAAAAATCTAATTAGATATTGTTTGCAATTTGCTTTTTTTTTAGTTTTCATTATTCGCTTTTAAGCGTATCGTTTTCATTATTCGCTTTTTAAGCATATTGTTTTAAGTGTTGAATATGTTTCACTTTTATTGCAATTGTTTACATGAGTTACAAAAAAATTCAACTCGGAGGTAAATTGTCACATATAAATTATAATGTTAATTCACAGGTGTCAACTAAGTATCTGTTTGAAGGACTTGTTGCTAAGACAGAGTGAAATTAAGGGTGTATGGAGTTGTAGCGTTACTTACCTTATCCAGGGGCCGGCCGACGGCTTCAATAGGAAGGCAGGCAGTGACCGCAAGAAGCTGTCACGTGTCCCGCCTGAATCTAAGAGCGCGCCACGAGTCTCGGGCGCGCTCTTAAAGAGACAGTGGGAGCCTAAATTGTCAAAAGGCTCCCATTGGCCCCTGTCATGCCACACTCCCCATACACTTACCTTTTGGGGGTGTGGATATGACAGGAGCCAATCACATTAGTTTAGAAGCTATTTAAACTTACCTCTCCCTTTACTCCCTGCCCTATCGTGGTTTCTGTTTCAGTTCCCTTTAGCGCTTGTTGTGTTCAGTTGTGTTTTCTTCGTATTGACTTTGGCTTTGTTTCTGACTACGTTTTCTCTTTATCCTTATCTGTTCTGGTTGCCGGCTTGCTGTTTACTGTGTACCAGACCCCGGCTAGTCCTAGTTTACGCTGTCTCTCTGTGCCCTTGACTTCGGATCGTTCCTGACTCTGTCTCCTCTCATATACGTCGAGTCCGGCCATTCTAAGGTCCGGTAGACGTATCTCTCCTCTGTGTTGTCTTCTGTTTAACTGAATCCTGCGTGTTGGGGTATATTCTCGTTACAGGAGTATAGTGTGATAAATTTAAATTCCATTTGATTAAAAGGGTAAGCAAAGAAATTTGAACATGTATCTTTAAGATAGGCTCGTTAACCATATATGAGCTGGTGATATATATCAATCTGGGTCAGTGATCGTTCACTCTCTCTGAGGAAGTGAGTGCATACTCATGAAATGTCTAAGAGCAGAAGATAACCAAAATCCTAAATTTGTTGTATGCAAGTCTCCGTACCTACAGCCTTATACAGGCTGGGGCACTATGCAGGGGCTTCAACAGGAAAATCGGAATGGCTTGGGAGCATATTATTGCATCCTGCAGGGTCTAGAAGGCTATCAACACAGCAGAAGATAATAGATAAGAAATTCTAAATGAAACATAATGTACACAGGAAGTTAACCATTAGATCTCACTAAACAGGAAGTCTGTGTAAGTCACATGCCGGGAGGTGTGACTAGGGCTGATTAAACAAAATGATTTCACTCCTAAATGGCAGAGAATTGAGCATTGAGACTGCTGGGACATGATCTATTCACCATAACTGCTTCCTTAAGCTAAAAGTTATTTTGGTGACTATAGTGTCCCTTTAATCAGTAGTTTCACATTTATGTACTGTGAAAATAAATTTTACTGGTTTCCATGCATCTAGTCATGGCACTAATATCTGCAACATTCTCATTTAAGAGTCACACCAGCCACTATTACAATGTATTCAACTTAAATAGGTAGCAAATAGCTCCCGTAACCACACAAATTTATTTATTTATTTACAAATAAATCACAGCAACTACAATCCCCCTCCCACTTGTTGACTTCAAGGAAGAAGTCAAGCCTGTAAATGTTTCTGGCTTGGCTTGTGCTAGCATTGCTGGCTGCAGGTAATTAGAAAATAATGTGTCAACTTCAGCTTAGAGCATGTGATATAGAGTTTATAAATCCCCCAGATACTTGGCATTCTCTATAACACGCATTGTATCTCCATAGTGAAAAAGATAAATAGAATTTGGAGTAGATTCCAACAAATGATACCATTTAATAAGTAAATAATACGCACCCTTTCATTATGGAATTTTTTTATTTTTTTTAAACAACCCGTTTTTTTCTCAATGGAACTAAGGTGCATTATATTAAAAAATTCAAATAATCTTTGTACAATTTTTGGAAATATATAGTTTTTATTGAGGTTTTCATACATATTAAGAAAAAATACATTGCGTCAAGTGAGCATAAAGGCTTCTAGTACATTGTTCTTACAATTAAATATAAAATGAGGATGCTGTAGAACACAGTAGTCCTACGCTATGAGTATGGAGCGCAATGAACTGTTGCATCCCTTCACTTCAAGCACTTATGTTAGTAGTAGAATAAGGGATGATACACCACTTAAGTTGCATTGACCGTCTTGCTTCTTGGACGCATCGTCGACCGGCATTGGCATGTGCCCCATCCCATGATATAGGAGCCAGGTTTTTAAAACCATATGTAACAAAAGAAAGAAAGAAATAGTACATAAGAAATAAACTTGGGTTCTCAACTAATCCAACATACTATATTCTCTGCACGGTTCGTGATCCTCGCATTAGCGTCAGACACATTGTAGATCTAGCGGTCATTGGGGGATTCCAATTACCCACTAAGGCAGGAAGTGTTATCATATTGCCTGTCATTATGTGCCAGTGATATTGGAGATTCTAGCATCTGTCCAGCTGGTCCACATTTGTGTATGTTTATTCAGTGTGCCTAGTACTTTGTGCGCCATTAGTTCATGTTGGTAAACATTCTCTAGTTTGTGTAAAATATCTTGTAAGGATGGCAAGGTCGTACTCTTCCAATGTGATACAATGCTAGACTTCATAGCCGTGAGAAAATTGATAATGACCACCCTGTGCGGTTCCTCTGCCAGATTGGGTATTAGGTGTAACAGAAGGCATTCTGGTACAAGTGGCACCTCTACTTTGGTTACCGTTTTGATCATATTTCTAATTTGTAGCCACAGAGCATGCAGAGTTGTGCAATCCCAAAATATGTGTAACAGAGATCCTGTTGACATCCCGCACCTCCAGCATCTGGAATCAACCCCCGAGTATATGAGGGATAACGTATGCGGAACCAGATACCATCTTAATAATATTTTACTGTATTCCTCCCATAAAGAGATGCTTATTGATGATTGCTTAGTTAATAATAAACCTGTATGCAAGCTGTCGAGATGGAATGATTTACCCAAATCTGCCTCCCACGCCTCCATATATGGTAGTTTGACCCTAGTGTGTTCTTCCATCAATGCCGTATAACAGTGAGACAACGGTTTGGCGGTTTGTGGAAGCTTAAGACATTCTTTGACAAATATAGAGAGCTTGGAGTAGGTGCTTAGACAAGAGGATATTTTTAATACGCAGGTACTTGAACAGCTCCCTAGTCGAAAGGTGAAATTCTTCTTAAAGTTGTGGGAATGGTTTAATCCCACTATCTGTACATAAATCATTAACTGAGGTAACACCTCCCTGGCGCCGAACCTCTAGATGTAGATCACATGACAAAGATGTTAAAGTTAAAAGCGGGGCCACCACCATTAATCTTTTGGGGTCAAGGAGCGCTAGGGTCCAGATTTGCCAGCTTTTTAACAGAAAACAGGATGTGGATTGTTTGCAGCTTAGGACAAAGGAGGGTGGTATCGATGTCCACAGTAAGTGTTCTAACCTTTGTGATAGTAGACACACATTTTAAAATGCAAGCTATATAGGTTGTATATTCCCTGACATAACACACACACCCAGTGACAATACAGATGCCCTATAGTATGTGCGAATATCGGGGATGCCCAGTCCTCCTTTTATATGTGGTAACCACATAAGGCAGTATCGAATCCTTGGGTTGTTTTTTTTCCCAGATATGTGCATTCACTATAGATTGAATTTTTTTTACTAAAGAGTTCGGTAAAGCTATGGACAGTCGTCGAAAAAGATATAATATGTGTGGAAGCACCATCATCTTTATCAAAATCGCCCATCCCAGCCATGACACCTCCAACCCCTCCCCTTTGTCTATCTTTAACTATAATTTATGCATTAGTGGGTAATGGTTTTCTTGTGTAAGAAGATGAGTGGGTTTTGTAAGTTTAATACCTAAATATGAGATAGATTTTTTGCGCCAAACATATGAGTAAGAGTGCTCCAAAGTCAATTAGTCCTCACGGGAGACTCTTATAGGTAATGCCTGAGTTTTAGACACATTATTTTTTATAAAAAGAGACTTCTCCATATCTCACCAAAAGATAATTTAAATGAGGTACGGAGGTTATTGGTTGAGTAAAACAGAGTTATATATCATCAGCAAAGAGAGACAGTTTCAGTTCTCACGCTGGGGTAGATAATCCCCTTATGTTGGGGAATTTTTAATTTGCCTCACTAATGGTTCTAGACATAGTATAAAGATTATAGGGGAAAGTGGGCAGCCTTGATAAGTGCCATTTGTGAGGAAGTAAATCCCAAATTAAAGATGTGTGCAGCTGGGCAGGTGTACAGGGCTTGGATGCTACAAACAAAGGCAAGAGAAAAGCCCAGTTTGGATAGTCGATGCCATGTAGGACCAATTTAGGCAGTCAAACGCTTTTTCAGCGTCAATTGCAAGTACTAGCCCCTTCTGTTCACTATGTTTTGTCCATTCTATGAGGTCAATGAAGTAGCGTATATTGTCGCCCACCTGCTTGCCTGGCACAAAGCCAGCCTGTTCCAGGGGAGATTAGGGGAAGTAGCATCGGTTTGATACGAGTGGCCAACAGCTTTGTATACATCTTGATGTCCACATTTAATAGTGATATTGGTCTCAGGTTTGAGCAGAGATTGGGGGGGTTTATTCGGTTTGGAGAGAGTGACTATGTTAGCCTCCAACATTTCCTGTGGGACCATACCTGAGGATTTAATGTGGTTAAATAGTGTTGTAAGGTATGGTAGTAAAAAACTTTGTAGTTTAATGTAGTAATAATTTGTAAGCCCGTCAGGACAAGGTGCCTTGTGCCTAGGAAGGGATCTGATAACCTCATGGACTTCATCTTCTGTGAAGGGGCTGTCCAGTATATTTCTCTCGTCTTTGGTCAGTTGAGTTTGGTCAAGGAAGGAGTCTATATCACTTTGCGAGAGCTGGCATAGCGTTGTATCTAGACTCAAATTGTAAAGCGTGGTCTAATATTTGCTCAATTCCTCAACCATGTCCTGAGGGTTGCATATTCTGTCTCCATTCTGACCAGTCAAGTAAGGGATCTTAGTTTGGTTTTTATGCTTTAGCTTATGTGCTAGAAGCTTTCCTGCTTTGTTCCCGAGGTGGTAATAAGTTTGTTAAATGTATCCCATGCAGCTCAAGTGCGTGGAGTTTTTGTTGCGTTTGTTTAATTTTGTTAGAGAAGCGTTTAGATGGTTTCTGTTTATTTTGAAATTCTAAAACCTCAATTTCCGCAAGCAGATTTGATTTGTTTTCAACCAATTTGTGTTTAGTGAAACATGGGGGGGGGGGGTGGTTGCACTCACCTAAACATGCTTAAATGGGGTGCTGCTGGGGGCCATATTATACAATAAACAATACACAAGATCCAGCGCACTCTCCTATCTACTAAAAAGCAACTACAATGTTGTCAGATTTTATTAGTTTTTTTTTTAAAGTTTTTTCTAAAGGTTTTTTTTTTAAAAAACCACCTAATCTAGGCAAAAAAATAATGGGGATTTAGTTACATGATATGATCATACAATGCATAAGCCTGCCACAATGTCAATATACCCCATCTTTGGCAGGTCCTACTCTCACAGTCTAATGTCTACTCTTATGTGAATAACTCACTTACTTGGGGAAAAAAATCAATCTGGGGCTCTCTGCAGTACAAGGCTAAATAGGGACCTGAGATGAGGCACCTGTGACATGGAGGGGTGCAGAACCAAGCTAGACTCCCAAATATATATATATATATATGAAACATGGGAGGGTGTTGCACTTACCTAAACATGTTTAAATGGGGTGCTGCTGGGGGCCATATTATACAATATACAATACACAAGATCCAGCGCACTCTCCTATCTAATAAACAGCAACTTCAATGTTGACAGATTTGATTAGTTTTACATTGACGTTGTGGCAGGCTTATGCAATGTATGATCATATAATGTAACTAAACCCCCATTATTTTTTGCCGATCGATACGTGAGTAGGCCATGTGTACTGGGGAGAAGAATGTGAAATCTTAAGCAGATGGATATAGGCACCTAGGTGTCCAATAAGTCATAAGTTTGCAATAGAGTTTGAAGGTGTTGGCTAAGAATTTGAGATTGTGGGTGAGGTGGTTTATGGTTATTTCCCTGGATCAGGATCAAGAGTGCAATTAAAATCCCCACATATTATCGTGTGCCCCTTTTTTAGAGTTGCAATTTTCCTATCTCTGGGTGTCATTCGGGGTATATAGATTCGCTATCATGATTATAATGCCATTTAAAGTGCCCTGTAGTATAAGAAGTCTCCCTTCCGGGTTTACATACTGGTTTTCTAACTGGAAAGCCCAATCTCTGTGGAGCAGCATGGATACCCCTTTAGATTTGCTTCAGGAGTATGAATGGTAAATTTGAGGGTATTGAGGCGATTTAAACAATGGTGGATTACGTTTGCATAGGTGACTCTCCTGGAGACATATCACTGCCGCCTTTGATGCGTTGATATCCTTAAGGGTCAGCCTGCGCTTGTGTGGGCTGTTAAGTCCATTTACATTAAGGAAGAAAATCTTTAGGGACATCATGGATGTCAAACGTCACTTTGTTTACTTATCTTAAACGTAAGTTTTGCACATCTGACTCCGACCTTATGAATCACTGGGGCATCACACTGGGCATGCACATTCTCAACCTCCAGGTTATTCATCACGTGCAAATAAGGAGGAGTGCCGGATATGTCAGCCATCAGGAGCCGACCGTGGGACAACTCAGACGACCAGTAGACAACTCAGACGACCAGTAACACGAGCCATGCAGAGAAAAAAACAATAAAACATATGAATAACATTAACCAAAGTATGTACATAGCACCCTTGCGAGCAAGGTAACAACTTTAGGCCAGTGTTGCCAACACCCGCATCCATCCATTTGGCTGAGGTGCATGACAGGAGGAGAGACTGACTGATTCATACAATGCTAGAGTGTGTTAGCCTTAAGCAATTCTAATAGGGCAGGGGGACCTGTCACCACAATCCAGTCACTTCTATGCATTATGCTAGAAACTCAAGACTGATAGAGCCATTAACGTTTACATCAATATATAAAGTAATCCAACAAAAGAAACAATGTGATCATGTCGTATAGAGCCCTATTGTTTGCTTTTGTTTTAATTTCCATTTGTCCGATTTGTCCACAACCCCGGTTAACTCAGTGTCCAGGGTGACTCGGGCCTACTAAATGCAGTAGCAAACATTAGCGCATAGGTCAGGTTAAACATATTATTGAACTGGCCATATATAGACTCCTGCATTCCCATATAGGGTCCTTATCTACTTTCAGGTAAACCTCGCTAGGACCTTAGAAACTTAACCTGAGGTCTTTCACCCAGAGCAGCTGGTCGTTGAAACATGCAGAATAAGCAGCTAACATCATTGAATCAGTTAATTAAAACAGAAGACAATAAACCAGTTCTATGAGGAACATAAAGGAAAAGGATAATAAACGTGATGATAGACATAGTCCCCGTCTTCTCCATTTAGTTTTTTTTCTTAGTAGGAGATCTAGCCATCTGCCACTCTCTTGCCACCTTAGTGGGGGATATGCAGGATTGTTTCAAAGCATCCTTGATTGTAGAATGCCCCAATCTGCCAGCAATTTTGTGCTATCTTCCAGTTCAGGAATTACGTGTCTTGTCGTTTCTCCAGATAATGATCTTCATGGGATACCCCCACCGATAAGGTATGTTGTGGTTTCAGAGCGTTTTGGTGACATTCCCGAACTCCTTCCTCCTCGCCATTGTCGCTGCCGAGAGATCAGCATACAAGTTGACATGTTGATAGGGCTCCGGCAGGGTAGTAATTTTTCTTGCTGCTTTTAGTAGCAGGTCTTTGGTCTTGTAATAGTGGAGGCATACCACCGTGTCTTTCGGTGTGTCTGCAGTGAAGTGTAGCGGTCGGGGTAAACGATGAACCCAGTCCATCAACCATTGACCGCCCACCAGGATCACCTTGCAGAGAGTTGTGACATAATCTGGCAGGGACTAGTTTGTAATGTTGTCCGCTATGCCGCAAAATCTCACATTGTTCTGGCGGGCCTTGTTTTCTATTTCGGCCATCTTCCTTTTAAGCAGTTTGTGTTCTTCAGTTAAATTTCCTGTGTCCACGACTTCATTGTGGGACGCACACAGTTCTTCTGTGCAATTTTCTAGGTGGTCCATCCGGTCACCAATGTCCGCAATTTCTTTTTTGAGGTCTGTAGTTATAGTTTGTCTGAGTTCTTGGAGCATTATGTGCAGTCTCCTTTACGTTACCGGGATGTCAGGATAGTTCTGCACGGAGCCCTCTGTTTCTGGCAGCCCCTCTGCTGCTGGAGAGGAGGCTGCATGCTCGTCTTTCTTATTTTGCCTCATTGGATCTGTGAGTTTCAGCTGCTTTGAGGGAGCCATAACGGTACCCCGGCTTTAATAGCTTGAGAGCCACACGACAGCAGGAGTTTCAGCCACCGTTGGCTTATATTATCGCTATGTCAGTCAGTTAAGACCAAGAGCTCTTTCTCCATGTGTCTTTTCTCCTCCATGGTTAGCCACGCCCCCTATCTTTGTACAACTTTAATGTAGGCTGATGGGTGGAAAATACTTTTAAAGGCCAAAGCCACAAACCAAGTTGATGTGGAAAAATTCCCCATATGGTTAGCAAGCTAGCAAATCTAGCCAAGTGATCTCATCATAGGGTAGAGAAATCATACAATGTAAGGAGGTCTACAACTAAATATTTTATACGTGACTTTCTGTAAATAACTACAAAGCATTAGGAATACAAACCTGTCCCTAAGTAAGATGTCTCTTTCGCTCACCCCTCTGCCTATAAATAATAAAATAAAGGCTATTTACTTACCTTTTTCCAGCCCAGAGGCTCCCACAGCAAGGTTTACCTTCTTCCTGCGGTGTCACAGAGGAAGCATTACCTATATGTCGGTTTAAAAGAAAATCTGTTTTGGATGTAATTTGATCATTCACATACTGCGGCAGAATCCAGGCACAGTAGTTGCATTCATTACTGTGGTGGGTTTTAAATTTTCAAGCCATTGCGGACACATGTAAAAAAAAAAATTATTTTATGTTACACTGACATCACAAGTGTGAAAAAGTGATGAAAAAACCCAAACAAAATACATTTCCAAAGACTGGCAAAAACTGGTGGTAAAATAAAGAGCATGACAACATGTTCAATATTACAATAAAGGGCAGCGAACGCTCTCTGGATTTCGTAATAGCACCTTTATTATTCTATCCAGGATTGTGGAATATCCTTGTGCAATCTGGAACAGTTCCAGGAACATACAGGAAACTTTTCAAAAAGACATGCAAAACGAACAGAGTGATGAATGCATTATTTCAACACACCATACATACAGTGTTTGTGAAAAACAAAGTATTACATCCTGAATTAAATATTTGAACCAGAAGTGTAAAAGGAAAAAAAAACATATTAAAATATTATGAATGGTAGCAATAAAATGTTTGTTTGCATTATCCCCTAACGACCAGTTAGCAAAGGCCAGATAGGGCTAAATTTTGATACTATGTTTATAAACATAACCAATAATAAACCCCCTCCTCCCCAAATAAAAGCCCTTAGCCTTGATAAGGATAGGGCAAAATGCTGAACATACAAACTCTATGAACTATGACCACCTAAAATAACTGAAGTGAGCATATGCCTAGAATAATCCTTTATGGAAGACTTGACCGTATTAGAACATTTTGCTTTTTCAGGTCTGTGTCATTGTTGGGGAGTTTGACATTCATTTAAAATTAATTACAGCAATGGCTACTACTTACTGTCTGCCATATTTTTGAGTTGTTTTTGGGATAAAATAGATAAACCTGTTACCCATCTCATCTACTGGTCTCATATACCAGCACTACGAGACAAAAACAGTAAACTGAATAAAAGGATAATTAGGATCAAATAATGTAATGGGACTTCTTTATTGATCATTCTTAACCCCTTAAGGACCAAACTTCTGGGATAAAAGGGAATCATGACATGTCACGTGTTCTTAAGGGGTTAAAGGACCACTATAGGCACCCAGACCACTTTAGCTCAATGAAGTGGTCTGGGTGCCAGGTCCATCTAGGGTTAACCCTGCCTGCTGTAAACATAGCAGTTTCACAGAAACTGCTATGTTTACATATGGGTTAATCCAGCCTCTAGTGGCTGTCTCATTGACAGCCGCTAGAGGCGCTTCTCACTGATTTTCACAGTGAGAAGACGCCAGCATCCATAGGAAAGGATTGAGAATGCTTTCCTATGGACTGACTGAATGAGCGTGCGGTTCTTGCCGCGCATGCGCATTCGGTGGAAGAGGGAGGAGAGTTCCCAGCACTGAGGGAGCCCGGCGCTGGAGAAAGGTAAGCCTTTAACCCCTTCCTCCCCTTACAGCCCGGCAGGGGGGGACCTTTTAACACTATAATGCCAGGAAAACAAGTTTGTTTTCCTGGCACTATAGTGGTCCTTTAAAGACGGGACCCAGAATTTACAAAATTCTAAAATACTGATGGGCTGCCAGGATTGCAGATTAGCCATATAGTATTATAAAGGTCCATGAACAGGTTCAAAACTTGAGTGGGTAAATCTTTACACCACTTTTTAGAACAGAAAACTTTGATAAAAGCTCCCCACACTCTATGAAGACATAAGACCACAGACCTAACAGCTCAGTGTTTACTAGCACTGCGTTGTCTTGTCAGTCAAACTATTGCAGAGATTGACTTTCACTGTGATCGCAATGCTTTCAGAGCCAGGCAATATGCTTGACTAACTAGTCAAGGCACCCTGCACTAGCATTTACACTGTAATGCTGATGCATTTTAATGTATCCTGTTTGGATATGAAACCGGTCCTTCAAGAGCAGCTTGCTTTGTGGCATCTGTAGGAATTAAGAAAGGAATTAACATTAGCTTTTGCTGCAGATTTAGGGAAACCAAACCTACTAAGTTATACCCAAACCATTAATAATTTTTTTAACACAAGTAAATAAACAAAAGTGTTTAATTGGACAGTAAAATTAAAGGAATATAGGGTCAAAAAAATAAATAAAAACATGTATTCCTGACCCTATTGTGTTAAAGGACCACTATAGTGCCAGGAAAACACTTGTTTTCCTGGCACTATAGTGCCCTGAGGGTGCCCCCACCCTCGGGGTCCCCCTCCCGCCGGGCCATAGGGTGTGGAAGGGGTTAAATTTACCTCTTTTTCCAGCGCCGGGCGGGGAGCTCTCCTCCGCTTCCTCGGCTAAATGCGCATTTGCGCGGCAAATGCTTTCCTATGGACGCTGGCGTCTTCTCACTGTGATTTTCACAGTGCAAGCACCTCTAGCGGCTGTCAATGAGACAGCCACTAGAGGCTGGATTAACCCGATTATAAACATAGCAGTTTCTCTATAAACAAAAAGGGTTAACCCTAGAGGAACCTGGCACCCAGACCACTTCATTAAGCTGAAGTGGTCTGGGTGCCTATAGTGGTTCTTTAAAAGGACCATTTAAACCACTGGCCCTCCTGTAACCCCATAAATGTAGTAAAATCGTACCTTTAATCTGGTCTGCTGCTGCTCCCTCTGCCCCTGATCTGCCTGATTGGCTGACATCATCAGAAGTGATGTGAGCCAATGTCAAGGAGGCAGATCGGAGACAGAGCCAGCACAAGTCAAACACAGCCCTGGCCAATCAGCATCTCCTCAGAGATGCTTTGAACAAATGCATCTCTATGAGGAAAGTTCAGTGTCTCCATGCCACTGAATGGCAGTGCTGCACACTAGGCAACGCTGCCCAAGGAAGCACCTCTAGCATCTGAGTAGTGGCCAGTGGAGGTATCCCAATGTAATAATTTAAACACTGCATTTTCTCTCAACACAGTGTTTACTGCAAAAAGTCTGAAGGGAATGATTACATTCACCAGAACAAATACAACAAGCTGTAGTTGTTCTGGTGACTATAGTGTCCCTTTAAAATAAATAGTAGAATTTCTTAACTAAGAAAAGAGGGGAAGTAACTGCATGATTAACATAGAGCTTTATTTTCTGCACAGAAATGTCAGCCAATTAGTTCTGGCTCTTAGTTGGCTACTGCAAATAAATATTTCTATATAGCACATATCCTATGTAGGACTGGCCACCCTAAATTACTCTTTCAAAAAGGAATATAGGGAGGGGAGAGGGAACCCATACAAAACACATTACAGTTTGTAAATATTTTGCTGTGGGTAGAATTCAAAATCAGATACGCAATGCATTTTTACAGAAGCAGGGGCCAACATAATTTGCACGGAAATCAAACATACAAAAGAGGTGTTAAGAAAAAAAAAGTATAACAATACCAGGATGGCCTTGTTTAAGTGAAATATATAGAAATACTTTTCTTTAGGGGGGAAAAAAGGAAGCACCAGACTATTCTACAACATGTTATAAAACAAATAAAAATAACTGAAAAAGATATACCGTAATGTTACAAGTGCAAATGCAGTGTTAAACAAAACATATTTATTTCGGTTCTGAAGACAACTATGCAACATAATGGCTCTGGACAGAAAATCTAATCAAAAACAGTGTTCATTTGATGTTCTATAGAATAGCAAATACGAGACAATTGTAAAATTTAGCAATCAATCATTGAGGTGTATGGTCTTATTTTTGCATTAGAATATCACTATTTTGAGAATAAAATGCATGTCAAACGGGAAGAATACAGAAAAAGCTATGGTTTAGCTTTCGTACAACAATAAAAACCAAAACAAACAAAAAGACTTCTGCAAAATTTAGGAAATTCTGTTGCATACATTTGATTGTGAATGTATCAAAATATTCAAATAACATAATATGAGAGACATATTTGGGGTGGTTATGACACGATGCTAGTGTTACCCTAAACAGAGTAATTGTAAAAATGTAAATATAGTGAGTTAAGTGTGAACAACTCAAGGAGCATCGTCAGTCCCATCTGATGTAGAAAATATTTGATTGTAGACCATTGAGCTCTACCTGTTTAGGAATGTCTGCCAAACCCGATCTGGCAAAACATTCTCTGAATGGTATTGAAGAAAAGTATGAAAAGTAAAATGCTAGAATAGAACTTTCACGGTTTCCTTTTAAAACAAGGTGTTAGATTTATTTTATAACATTTTTCCATCTGCTTGTGATCTAATTTTACCACAATATAAAATTGTTGCAAAAATAGAAGAGTGGACAAAACCGCAAACCCTAAAAAACACACAAAATCTACAGTGGTTAATCATTACAGGGTAAACCCAGCCATGTCCCATGGAATTAATAAACAGACATCAGCAAATGGCAAGAGTTTTACTTTCTAAGAACAGCAAACAAAGAGCACTTTTTTTTTTCCAGAAAGCAACAACTTGTGTTACATACATGAAACAACAGCAATTTAACCGAACATTGCTTTTAAACGTTACCTTTTCACTGTCCTAACAGTTTAGAGGTGCACGACCACTTAGTTACAACTTGTAACCATAGGAAATGTAAACTCTTCATAAATCGGACCACAGAATTTTTATTTATTTATATTTTTACATTTCCCATTCGCGTTTCTTTACAGACCGATAGCAAGAAATGCAGCATACAAAAATGGCGAAACAGGTGATCAAAACAAAAAGGGCTGTTTATACATATATTACTAACTGGGCTCCTTTTATTTTATAGGCTGTTAACAGAGCTATACACTATTATATGATTGAAGAGGAGACGCATCAAGTGATTGCAAAGCCACACGTACAGGCTAAAAGTGTCAAAGGGCATCGTTCAATGATTTGTAGCTCTTTTACTTTACAAAATGTTTGGTCAGTCAAGCTAAAAGCTTATTACGTATCAAAAGGACACAGGGTAGAAATCATTTAAGCTACACAAAAACAAAATGTAAAGAGGGAAAACCAAAACAAAAAAACAAAACACTAGTGGTCACTGAATTGTACACTATTCCAAATCCCTTCCGACATAAAATAATTCTAAGAAAAAAAAAAAAAAAAGTTTTTTTTTCACGTCAGTAAAAATGTATTAAAATTTGAATTGTACAAGTTATGTGCTGCCCACATTTTTCTTTTTCTATTTACAACAAAGTCCTCCAAACTGCAGCATAGCGGCTATGGCACAACACCGTAATTTGCAGCTCTGCTCCTGCAGGCCGCTTCATAGTTCTTTACAGACTTCCATTATCTTCAAGAAAAGGAAGAGCCCCTTCTGTTCACAGTAAAACTGGAGATTTAATTCCGATTTGTTTTGCTGATGAGAAAAAAAAAAAAAAAAGTCTGTCAGTCACAGTTAATTTGTGGAATTAAACACCCATGATAAAAAATAAGCAGCAGTAATTAGAACACCCGTGCATTATCTGACCCACAAAAACGAATTTCCTAAAACTAGGATTAAGATTTGCGAGACTTATATTACACTGAAAGTTTCTTCAGCAAATAATCTATGTACATACATTATTTGCTGAAGAAATTTTCAGTGTAATATAAATCTCACAAATCTTAATCCTAGTTTTTGGAAATTCGTTTTTAGTATATATATTACTAATTACGCAAGAAGATAGTATTCTGGACTTGGTGCCAACATAGAACTGTCTGACTTCTCTACTAACCCGTGACTGTTGAACTAAAACTCGCTAGTCAGGGCTCAATTTCCACTTGTCAACAGTGAGCGGGCAAGTGCAAATTCAACTATTAAACTTTTACTCCAGCGCAAGGATAGGTAATCTTCAGCACTCCAGATGTTGTGGACAACATCTCCCCCTGATGACTGTAGTTCACAACATCTAGACTCAGCTTTCTGTCAATACAGGAACCTTTTCAAATATGGGATCTTCACCACACAGCGTAGGGTTGCTGATGACAGGTCCAAGCTATTTTTATGCTCAGCATTCATTGTGTTTTATCCATCTTTGTGCACTTTCAGTGTTTTGAAAGTAATTATTGTATTATGGATTAACACTTTCCTTCATCTTTAGCAACTCCCTATTTTGATGAATCACTGGATCATTCTCATTATCTTGTTCTAGATTGTGTTGCTAAAGAGTCCATAATCATTTAAAACCAGCTAGGCAGCACTGAGTGTTTAGACATGTATCAATAAATACTGCTCTTCTCTTCTGCAAGTTGCAATGGTCTATATAACCTTATACAGCACAGTGTATGTAGACATCGTGACAACCTAGAAACACCTAGGTAGACAATTTGTCATTTTTTACTCTGCTTTGTCACAGCTACTGTATGTGAAGGGAAAGATGGTATTTGCCCATATAAGTCAATATCTTATACCCATGCTTAGAGTATTCCAGAACAGAGAAGAAGAAAGAATGCTAATTTGTCAGTTATGGCCTCATCTTGCTCTTGGAAATAAAAGTAAATAAATAAATATATATATATATGTGACATATTTTCTCCTGTGAAGCTGCCCAAAATATACATACAAATATTTTATCTATCTTAAATTGCTGTGTTTCTCCCATTCATGGGCTAGTGGTGTATAATTTATTTTGCTAAACCAAAATAAAGGATTCATTTTACACAATTGTGACTCGTTTTCCTTTGGTAATTAAACATTTCACGTCCTATATATGGATTTACTCCTATCTGATAATAGTGGTAAACTGAAAACACGAGTAGTTACTTTTCCTTGTCATGTCTTCTATTACAAAACCTCATGTGAAAGGCTTTTGGTAAATTACCATTTCTTCTTATAAAGTGGCACTGTCATCATCTGGGTACCTTGCATAATTTGCAAAGAGCCTCCCTCCGACGGTGACATCGCCACTACGGGCAGACAAAGGTGAACATAACCTGATCCTCCTGGGCACTGCCTTCTTTTTCTGGCCAGTGCTCTTCTCGCAAGTGTGGAGTACAGCACTGAGGTCTATGAAAGGTCCTGCGAGATCCTTCATAAACAGAGCCAATTCCCTACAGCATTCATTGGTAAAGGCTGGGCAATTGACACTTTTAGACAATGAGCAGAGCTACCACAGTGCAGGAGTTTCAAGCATAGGAAAAATACTGAGACAAAATAGTCCCTACTTTGTCTCAGTATATCATGATTGGGTTGACAGTCAATATTAGTACGTCATACAAATTTAATCTTCCTGTAACACAAAACGGATATTACACGCGTTACAATGTAAAATGAATGTGACTTTATATATAGACATTAAATGGCACACTCCAAGTATCATGACAAAGGAAGACGCTTCTTGCAATACATGCAAAGAGCCTGTTCGGTTATGTTCCATATAGCTGATGCAATTTGGTCAGTTATGGTATCATTCCGCTCTTGGAAATAAAAAAACAAAAAAAAACACACATTTAAATTTAAAATGTATTTTGGTCAGCTTCATAGAATTTCTTCTTGCATTGGCCTAGAGAAAGATTCAAGCCCAGCATGAGTCAAGACCAACATTCAGAGCATTTTTGAAAACTGTTACATTTCCTTTAACCTTTAAAAACATTTTTCTAGAAAACAGCAAATCTGTACGTTTCTCTTTGCTTCAGGTACTGAAGAAGTTACTATTTGGCAAAAGGTTGCCCTCTATGGGTGACACTTATGTATGACAGAATATATGTTCACATCGTACTTACATTTTCAATCATCAATTTTTGAAAGTTTCCTTTTAACATGTTTTGGGGGCTCCCAGGTATCACTGTCATCAGTTTCTTCGATCTCCTCTTCGTCAGGCTCATCTAGTATATTATCTTCGTCTACCTCTTCCTCTTCAAATGGATCCAGACCAGCATCCTCCCTTTGAAGT